GAGTAACTGACTTTTTTTTGGACTAAGGAATAGAAAATTTCGTATTGATTCTATACAGCCAAACATCTTCATAAAAAAGTTGTCTCTAAATTAGAGATGGGCCGAATATTCGTTTTATATTCGGTATTTTTACCGAACATTCCTTAAAGTGTTAGTGAAAACGTACGAACTTGAAACGTAAGAATTGAGTAATTCCTATGTCTTTCATAATTTAACTGTTGAAAGTATATTTATGGTTTTAATCTATTTGTATAGCATTATGTTTTTGAAGCACTAGATTTTAGAATTATAGCAAATAGAAAGCTTTTTTCTTTTTTTTTTTAAAACGTTACCCCTACACTAAGATTTTCTCTTGTATCGTAGGGGCAGTTTACAAACATAAATTCTATAAGGACAAACACCCAGACCCGGAACAACTATTTGTAGGCCATACAAATATTTGTTCTGTGCGGGATTCGAACCCGCGACCCCCAGCGCAGCCACTCATTGCTAAGCCACTGCGCCACGGAGTCGTTAACTTTTTTTTGGAATCAAACAAAGAAACATTATATTACCATAGTACCTATCACTTTACTTTGCTCGTCTCTTTCTCTAAAATAAGTCGAAATAGTAGATCTCCTGTCAATAATTTTTATCATATATATATATATATATATATATATATATATATATATATATATATAAACATAATTATCAATTTTCACTAAGAATAATACAACTAAATAGTTTTTTCTTACAAAAATAGTCAAAACGAACATGTACCAGCAATTTGCTCAGTACTATAGTTCGGCCGTTCAGAGAATGCGTTCCTGACACGTCGCGATTGAACTGACGACGTAACTTTGTAATGGCGTTGCAGTTACGATAAAAATATTTTTGCTGGTTATTTACAGTTTTAACAATTGATGAGTATTAAAACAACATTATTATATCAATAATCAATGAATGTTATAATTTTGTGCCAAACTGAGTATCAAATAACTTGGTAAACAATATTTTTCTAAATCTATACTGCGATATTACAAGGTTATGTCAGCGCTTTATATTTGTAGTGCTGTGCTAACAATAACAGGCAATAACAGTATCGTAATCTGTTCTTATACAGTTATACTTTATAAAATAATACGTTTTGTTTTTCTTAATGATTTCTTATATTTACGCGAACATTGCACATGATTAAAACTACTTTTACGGATTTTATCGCGTTTATTTTTTTCTTACTTTTTATTTTTATTTTTAATTCCCGACGTTTCGGGCGCTTTCCAGCACCCATGGTCACGGGGGACTGAGATGACTGACGTCCCGATGTCATTGTTAAACCCGGAGTACCTTCAGCTTTTTTTTAATTATTGTTTATGGTCCGATCTATGCAAAATGAACTGACTATGTCCTGAGGTCTTGCAGTGGTATGCTTGGGTTTAGTTTTAATTTTATTGATTATAGGACCCATAATTTCCCGAAACGTCGGGAATTAAAAATAAAAATAAAAAGTAAGAAAAAAATAAACGCGATAAAATCCGTAAAAGTAGTTTTAATTTTGTTTTTCTTTTTAAAAATTTGAAAATAATGGACCACAATCAATAAAAAAAAAAAGAGAGGTAATATAAAAAAAAGATATCTTATAAGATATCTTTTATTAAATATAAAAATAAAACTACGACAAACCGAACCGAAAGAAAGTAGCATTTTTATATTTAGGTTGAAAATGGTAACCCCAAATGGCGTTATGGGCCGCCATTTTGTGACGCTAAAACAGTTAGACATGGGCAAAGTCGTTATAAGTCAATCACCGTGACTGTTGTTCCAGTTATAAAAATTTCACGGTGAAAAATCACTGTGACCTTGTCACGTGGAATAGGTAACAGAATAGGTATTTGGAATGTTTTGTAATGTGATTATACACGATTTGATATTTAGTCGCTTATTATTACTTATATTGTCATATATTGCCATAATGGCTGAGATTAGTTTTTATATACCTCCACTAAATACACTGAACTATTCACTATTATTGTTATTTACACAACGAATAAACTAATTTCTAACACTTTGCACGTCGTAATTTGCATCAACACGCAAAGAAAAGGTAAGAAAAAAAATGGCGCCAAATTTATAAGTGCACAAACTTGACAAATTACAATGAGTAAACCGTAGACAGAGAAACCTATAGACTAATGATCGGCGTGGCCTCGAGTGAGAAAGGACGATAACGAATTTTTAGGTTATACAATCATCTTTATGACTTTTAAACACATTTAGATAAAAATTTTAATTGTTCTAAGAACTGAACTGAACAAAATTCACCAATCTTAAGCTCACAAAACACTTTTTTCTCGCTTAAATCAACTTGTAAACTCCTTAAATCACTACGCTGTTAAAGTTGTTTAGCAAACTGTAGAGTTTGCTAAACAAAAAAACCGGCACGGAGAAAGGGACAAACAATCACACCGCTCTATCTCATTTCTATGCAAGACGTATATCTAATCGGACTTCGATTGTGTTTTGTATTGCGTTCTTTTTACTTTTGGTGCATAATAATGCCTAAACGTGGACAAACATTGAAAAGTAGAGCCCGTGAGTTAATCATCAAGCTGCAAGATTACTTTGAGCGGGAGCGGCAAAATGGCGGACCCCTGTTACCTGTCGAACAAGTACAAGAACGCGTCTCTCAGGCGCTTGGAGTTAGCAAACGAACGATAACAAATATTAATAAAGAAAAGTTCGGCTCTACTGGCACGGAAGATAATATATGGTTTTTCTTATAAAAAAAACAGACAAAAGAAAAATTTTATTAGAACGATGCGCCATAATTTTAAAACTGATAAGTTTTTTGAGAGAAGCAAAAAATATTGACAACTGGGATAATGTCGTGTCATTGACGAGACATGGCTAAACGCCAATCACACGGTTTCCCGTTCTTGGACGGATGATACACAAGCGTCGACGTCGAAAGTGCCAATGGGTAAGGGGGCCCGTCTGATAATATGCCACGCAGGTTCTGCAAAATACGGCTTTGTGGAGAACGCGTTACTGGCATTTCAATCAAAAACACCAAATGACTACCACGAGGAAATGAATGCCACTACATTTAAAGAGTGGTTCCAGAACGTGCTTTTGCCCAGCCTACCAGAGCCTTCTGTAATATTCATGAATAATGCCTCCTATCACTCAGTTCAAATACAGAAACCACCTACCCAAGCTAATAAAAAAAGAAGAAATGGTGGCTTGGTTACAAGTAAAAGGCATTGACGCTAATATCTGCTAAAACCAAGCTAATTAAATTAGTTAAAGAAAATAAAGCGGCAAATGTGTGATACGAAATCGATGAACTGGCTCTGAGTTCGGTCATCGCGTTCTAAGAATTCCACCGTATCATTGCCAATATAACGCGATTGAGCTAATCTGGGCTCAAATAAAAGGTTACGCCGCCCGCCACAATAATTCCCCGCCATTCAGCACGAAAAAGATGATGACCCTATTAAAAGAAGCCTGCGGGGAAGTCACAAGAGATGACTGGGCAAAGGTTGTTGAGAAGACTAAAAACCTGATTGTGGAACATTTTGACCGAGATATCAGGATCGATTCTGTTATTGATAATAATATAATTATACATGTAGGCGAAGATGATGATGAAGACACCACCTCCTCACGCGAATCGGAGTCTGATTAATATTCTGTACGCACATTCAATTCAATGTACTTTATTGCATAGAAATACAGATTGTAACTTTGTAACAAAGAATAAATAAAACAATTTTTGGTTTCCACTTAAATTACTAAAATATAAATTTTAAATGATTCCGCCAATTTAAAACGAAAATAATCTTAAAAATAACGCGGCGGTTCATTTTGGAGGAGCGGTAACGAACTCAGTGTTATGTTGTGCCCATCACTAGTCGTGACTAACTGATAGATGTCAGGAACGCATTCTCTGAACGGCCGAACTATAGATGATGTAATAAAATGTCAGGTGTGGCGGGGGAGCGAGGGGCAGGGTCCGGCGCTAATCGCACGCGCTTTACGGTAACAAGTTTCGACATAAATAGGTTAGATACCAAGGTGATTCTGCCGAATAATGTTCGGCCGAATATTCGGTAAAAATTTTACCGAACATTCGTATTCGGTGAAATCCATATTCGGCCCATCTCTACTCTAAATATAAGTTGTTTAAGTAAATTTTTATCGTTTAAAGTGTTGTGGGTGGGTGCGGTCGCATGCGACAGTTCGGGATTTGACGGAATGTGGCGGCGCGGCGGCCGCATGCGACCGCTTAGGTATTTTAGACTTAAGGGTTATACATGACCATTGTTATCTTTAAATTATAGTCAATGCACTCAACATCATTACAGCCCTTGACATGTACACTGCTGAACATAGGCCTCCCCCAAGGTATGCAACAAACCACGGTCCAGAGCCACCTGCAGCCATCGACTTGCTGCATGTCTCACCAGATCGTCACTCCATGTAGTGGGGGGTCGGCATACACTTCGCCTACCGGTACGAGGCTACCACTCGAGAACCTTTTTTCCCCATCGGTTGTCGGTTCTTCGAGCTATGCACTATCTTCACTATTCGTAGTGCTGCCTCTGTGAATTGTAATATTCACAGAGGCAGCACTACGATATAACATTATTTAAAGGAGAATAATTGGAAATTTTAATGACACAAAGGCAATTTATTATAAATGAAAACACATTCTTTTTTATAAATTTATTAGATATAATATTTACAGTGTTATACTATCATACAGTTAAAAAGATAATATATATAGAATTCAAATAGTTGCCTTAAAATTATGAAATGTCTCACAAAAAGTTGAACAAAGTAATGCTCTCTTTATTTTAACTACTTCAATCATTAAACCATAAACTATGATTTCTAAGAATGTAAAAAATATGAATGACTGGAATGAGTATCACCTATCATTACATTTTTAACTATACTTCTAACCATACAATGCTATAAACCACAACCATACCAACATGCAATGGTATAGTAATTTACAATATCATTGCAAGCCAACCTAATATAAGACAGGATCCACCTATTGGTGTTAATCGTCTGAAGCTTCGGTCACCAGTGAAAGCATGGTAGTAACATGTGCCGCAAAACAATCCCATTCCAGCAATGAAAAATCCACCAGCCTGTAAAATATTTCTTATTGAAATTAATTAAAGTTATAATTGTATAAAACTATTATTTACGGATTTTATCGCGTTTAATTACTTTATTTTTATTATTATCCCGACGTTTCGACGTCGACGACGACGGGGGGGGGGACCCCCGTGACCATGGGTGCTGTAAAGCACCCGAAACGTCGGGATAATAATAAAAATAAATTAAAGTAATTAAACGCCATAAAATCCGTAAATAATAGTTTTATTCAATGTGTAGTGTTCGCGTAAATTTAAGAAATCATTAAAGTTATAATTACCATTATTTCTGCATATATAAAAACATATTGCCGGACCATGTGTATAAAGTGTAAGTGTAAGAAAATTCTCTACCACACATTAACCTGTGGGTGTTGTAAGAAGCTACAGAGAGAAATGAACGAGGAGATGGGCAGCAGCGTATTAATAGTAATATCTAAAACCAGTGCGGCCAACCAACAACTAAGTGTGGCAATTATGTCTAATAGTCCCCCCATAAGGCAATATATGGGGGAGACTTCTGTTCAACAGTGATTTTTTGATAAGCTGTAATGTTAACAGTAGCTGTAAAAATATATTAAGTTATTATGACTTACACTTTAACCGGTTAAAGGTACTACAACCAATAGCAGTTATAATATAACAGAGAAGTATTTGAAATCTGGGCTAGAAATATCAGTAAAATGCTAACATTACCAATGCCAAACCAATAATGCATAATCTAATGTTACATGTAATTTTTTAAATTTAACATAAATTGTGACATTTTGCAAGTTTAACGACGTATTTAAAAATATAAAGACTACAAGTATGTGTTAAATCAACTCTAAAATTCTAACTAACCATAGACAGAGAAACCTATAGACTAATGATTAGCGTGACCTCGAGTGATAAAGGAGAAAGGACGATAACATAGTTTTAGATTATACAATAATCTTTATGACTTTTAAACATATTTAGATAAAAAATTTAATTGTTCTAAGAACTAAACTGAACAAGATTCACCAATCTTAAGCTCACAAAACACTTTTTTCTCAAACTAACTTATTAACTCCTTAGATTGCTACGAACTGTCAAAGTTGTTTAGCAAAGTGTGGTTTGCTAAACAAAAAAACCGGCACGGAGAAAGGGACAAACAATCACACTGCTCTGTCTCATTTCTATGCAAGACATATGCAGAAATCTATCTTTTTCGTGTGCGAATGCTAAGTTTCTCTGTCTACGTAACTAACAATCTCATTGGTTCCAGTGCAGATATTCTACACTCTGTGATTTCTTCAATATATTTTCACTCAACATAACTAAACTTTATTTTGTGGTATATACAAACTGATAATGTTCTTTTATTAATATAGTAATTAAGGTAGGTAACAAAAATTCATACTACATACTGTTATTAAGCCCTTCTTCTTACTAAAATGCTTTAATTCAAATATTTTTTTTATCAATTACATAATGTTATATATCATCATTCATGACGATTATATAATGTTATATAATTGATAAAAAATATTATATATTGTTGCCCGCCATAATAAATACCACTAGTAGCGCCATCTAGTATCGAGTAGCAGAACTAGGAGAGCTTTCTTGAAAATTCCATACTAGAACTTTCCCATTGGCGCCATCTAGTATCGAGTGGCAGAACTAGGAGACAATATTCTACACCTAGTCCGTCGGGACCGGTATGTACTCGAACATTCTAGATATTTCAGTAGAAAAGGTCCGAAAAGGTCCTATATAGAGCCGTTTTAGACTGCGACCCGAGTCAGTATTGAATTGAGTATACAAGCGAATACTTTGAAGCGATATAATTGCGAACAAAAGTGTTAAGTGTGATTAATTATTAGTGTGTTTTAAGTTGTAATTGGTGGTGTTCGGTAGTTTCAATTTTGCTAATTCAATCTGCAGTTTTTTACTGTCACAAACCCTAAGCTGGTAACAATATGTATACTGATAATCTACTTTTCCAACAACATTGTTTGATTTCAAGGTTCATTCATAATAATTAAGTTATATGTTGTATTCTATGATTATCTCCATTTCACCACAGAAGCTGAACCATAGTGCATACATGGTTATGAACAACTTTATGTGCAGAATTTTAATACTGCATTCTGAAATGCTAACTAGTAACCCCATTTTTTTTGTATTTGTTAGTTAATATGCAATGTCATAAAATTGTTTCTGTATTTTTATTATATAATGTAGAAAGTGGTAATATAGTAATAGGTATTTTTCTAATTTTTATAATACAGAGGTTAATTGTGTACTTATGACCACTTTAACCCATTCAATGCCTTTGGTGCTCATGAGCGGGCTGACAATTTTTATTCACATGCTGAGGACTCATCGGTGTCTCACTTTCATAGCTAATTTTTTCAGTCAAACAACAATAAAAAGACCAAAAATTTTTATTGTACATTTTACATTAATCTAACTATACTCGAAATAGCCTGTGAATATCTGCGATTTAAAAAAAAATGTTGATTCTAAGGTTACATGCCAAAGCCCAACTGCGCCTTTAATAAATAATCAGTTTATCAACCTTTTTATGTTATGTGAATGAAAACCAATATTTGTCAGCTAACAACTTAGAACAATATAAATAGGCATTTTTAAACAGGGTGGAATTGAAGTCGTTTGCATCATAGAGTTGGCAGTGGTATAATCACATGAGTTGGAATTTATTATTTTCTTGGTTTGGATTTAAATCAATCAAGATTTGATCCGTTAGAGTCTTGATCATAAGTAAGCGGATTTTAAAACTGCATATTCTTTGAAGTAGTGACAGCATCACAGATGCCTAATAGATGGATCAAAGGATAGGTACCGCTTTAAGGTGGACTTCTGCACTAATCAGATGGGCTATAAAAGACAAATTTTAAACAAAATAACTTGATAAGTGATTTCTCACTCATTGTTTTGGTAATTTATTGACCATGAAAAAGTGAAGAAACGGAAGAGAGATAGCCATTTAGTTTTTCCAGAATTTAAGCTTGGTCTGAAAATAAATATGTATATGAAGTTCATTAATAAAATTGAAAAGTGAACTTTGTAAGGTATGCATAAGTAGCTCAAATTGACACTGCATTATTATTTTGGTCGTGAACAAATTAAAATGATATTTTTTCTAAATAATCTCATAAAACACGCCCATTTATTAGATGTTACAATCTGTTTATAAAACAAATAAAATACAATAGTTCACATCCATTTATACTACATCATGCCGAAGCCACCTATGGGTGCCTTGAAATGCTTTAGCGAGATGCCTTAGTCACCGTTGGGTGGCCTCCAACATATGTATGACAGCATAGGGGTAATGTGTTTCTATTCATAGGAGGCAATGAATGGGTTAATTATTACAAGAAAAATAGATTATTATAAAATAAATCAATGTTTTCATTTTATTAATCATCTGACTACAACAAAACATGTTGCTTATGTATTCGGTATTTGACCAAATAGTATCTAAATATTCGGTATTTGATCAAACAGGATAAAAGTAGCCAAATAGGCCAAATACTGATTAATAGTCAAATCTAGTATCTTAGTATTTATATATCCATTGTCATGGTTAAGTTACTAGGAGCCTCTGATAGATGTTCTACCAGTGTCAGTTCACCCCTCAGAACTAGATGCTCTACTATTTTAGTGTTATCTAGTTCTGCCTAGGAGTTTATCTAATTGAAGTTGCATTTACATCCACTTTTGTGTTGCAGTATGACAGGTAGAGCTTGTATGATTTAAGTCTTCAAAGGTTACTTAGTACTGATATCTGTGGGCTACATTACCATCAGATGAATTGATAGGGTATTTACAAATGTTATTTAAAAATTAAAGTTTCACATTATTTGAAAATGATGTAGAAAGCCATAGAAAAATAACTGTACTTACAATAAACGGTCTCCTGCAGAGTGGTACTGTCATCAGCGCTAAAGTATGTAGGAAGTGGAATCTATTAGAGGTATCAAAAATCTTTTTTAAGTCTTCTTTGCCCTCATTTTCAGGAAATGTGCGATGGGCTCCCATAGCACCGAGGACTACTGCAGCGGCACCGCTTAATCCGGCGAGCCTAACAAATGGCCCCGCAGCTTGTGCTAATTCCCAAAGAGGCATTTTTATAACAACTGGAACTGGTGGCAATTTCTCAGCCTTTGGTTTAAAAACGCCCTGAAATATTTTTTTATTTAAGTAGAACACTATGTCACGCTTAAAGTTCTACAGTAAAACTGAGCGATTGTTGCTATCTAAGATAATTATCTAATTTTTTGTTAAATCATGCTAGCTATTTTAAAATATGTAGTCAAACTTACGATTTGTCGGAGGACACTCATAGCTCCTTCCGTCACCGTATTAATCATAAAAACATCAGCGAAATTAACCATACCTTTTTGATCTCTTGGAATCAGTGATTTATTTAAAAAAAAATCCCTCAGCAATCTTCAAAATAGAACTCACAGAATACATTTATTACCCATAGAACTAGGACAGGGTAGGGATGTTAAAAAATAATCGATTTTTATTTAAATCGATTATTATTTTCTTATAATCGATTTTTTATTATTGATTTTTATAGTAATATTAATCGATTTTTAGTAAATCGCTCTGTCTTACAGGTAATAAATGTAAAATAGGACTGGATATTTGTGGCAATAATTATTTTTAATTTTATTATTGTTTAAACTTAAAGATTAACGAAATATTGTTTCATATTTTAGTTTTTGACACCATAAAGTAGTTGTTCAGGATTTTAAATAATCCTTTTATGTATTTTATTTTAATACTAGTCAAATGTAAAATAGGACTGGACATTTGTGACAATAATCATAATTTTATTGTTTAAACTTAAAGAGTAACGAAAGGTTTGTATTTTAGTTAAGTTTTTGTGATAGCGTAGTTGTTTAGTTTTATTAATTCCCATTTTAAGTATTTTATTTTAAAACTAGTCAAACGTAAAATAGGACTGGAAACTTATGGCAATTTTTTTATTTGATTTATATTTTAGTTTTTGAGACAATAGGTTTGTCATTTTGTTGGAATGCTAATCAATTTATATTTATTATAATAAATAAGACGTTTAATAGTACTAAAACTTGTGTCAACAATGCTATTTGGTTTCCTAATTCCTCACCTTGAAATTTGAAAGGAACATTGCCCTTGATTTTTAGTTTTGAATTGGTTATTTTTTTTATTCATATAATTTTATTTGATTTTTAATCTGATAAATTGTAAATATAAATCTTTTAGGCTTATCATTAGAACATGAAAAGCACGTAACTTTAAACAATACAAAAAAATACGATTTTTTTTTGCAGAAATCGATTACTTATTTCTATAAAAATCGATTTATGACACATCGATTAATTTTCTTTTCCATTAATCTCACATCCCTAGGGCGTGCCCTTAATACATTACATGGAGGAGCACTGTGTAGCAGAAAACTATCGGCGTAGAGAGAGAGAGACAGAGTTTACACCACTGTTTCATTGATGGCTATAACATTCATTACAATCAAAACATAAAACAACTCTACCTAAACACCGATCACTTCTGCTCACACAGTGCTCCCTCCATGTAATGTATGCTCTAAGGGGCTGCCACTCCGAAATTTTAAGTTGCCGTGTTTTGGGATCTGGATTGCCGTGTTTTGGAATAAAAACTACAAAATTTCCGTGTATATTTTTATTTATTGTAAATTAACACGTAAGATTAAACATGATATAAAAACATTACTTCACAGTCAACATACAAATTTCTTATCGTATCCAAAACTTCTTCTTCGTCTTTGTTCAATCTATGTTTAATATTTTTTTCTTATGTTTAATGTGTAGACAGAGAAACCTATAGACAAATTGAGCTAAAAGATAGATTTATGCATACGTCTTGCATAGAAATGAGATAGAGGGGTGTGATTGTTTGTCCCTTTCACCGTGCCGGTCTTTTTCTTTAGCAAACTCTACAGATAGCTAAACAACTTTGAAAGCGTAGCGATTTAAGGAGTATACAAGTAGGTTTAAGTGAGAAAAAAGTGTTTTGTGAGCCTAAGATTGGTGAATCTTGTTCAGTTCAGTTCTTAGAACAATTAAATTGTTTATCTAAATGTGTTTAAAAGTTATAAAGATTATTGTATAACCTAAAAATTCGTTATCGTCCTTTCTCACTCGAGGTCACGCAGATCATTAGTCTATAGGTTTCTCTGTCTACGGTTTAATATTATCTAGTCTATGACTTTTTTATTTTTTATTTAACTGGCTTTACAGCTCTGCGTTCTAGGTCTTCTGAGCCCATCATTTCTTTCAGAATCTTCTTTTTATATATTTTTTTCTTTTTCTTTCTCTCTAACTCTTTCTTTTTAACTTGAGGTTTATATCAACATCGAAGCACTTGTTTCGTCATTTTCTCTAATATTTCGCACGCTCAGACACTTAATTCACAAAAGCGCTCTACTTTTACGAATCAAAATTACTGCAAACCATTATTCAAGCGACAAAACAGGAGCGATCAGTCGACGGTCAAGTTCCCGCCAAAACTCCTTATCTATGACTAAGAGGATACTACCACAGTCTACTAAGAGGATACTACGCATGATACTACGCATGGGAGATCGTAGATAGTTCTCTGCCAACGTAGGAGATACTATTTTTGCCAATAAGAAAAACTTATATCTGTAGACAGAGTATGCTATTATATCAATGATTTTTTCACACTTTCACAGATTAAAGTTGTTCAAAACGGCTATAAATCAATATCACGCTACAGAGTATAAAATAACTACAAATTTCTAGCGTGCTATTAAATACGCGATTTTTTTTTGCGCCCGAAGCAATTAAAGGGCTACCCTATACGTAGGGAGGCGGAAAATGCATTACGCATACCACGATAGCCGGTCTATCGTGGTTATGAGGGGCTCACTGTCCTACCGGGGACCCTAAGTGATACCCTCTAAAAACCGCCTTTGGGGACAGGCAACCGGCTGATTAAGCTCTATTGTGCCTTATCATGAGCGACCCTCTTTTGGGAAAAGAGGGCGCAGGCGGCTAAGTGCCGCTGAGGGAGTGCCTACGAAGGCAAATTAATGTTAGATATTACAATAATTTTATTTAATTAGAGTTGGCCTGAGCCGCCAGGAGACAGTTCAAGTCGTTTGAAAGTTTATTAGGCGGGTCCGAGAGAGAGTTTCTCGGCCTGCGGACACGATAGCGAGAGGGGGGTGGGGCTGCATAAGAAGCTGCCTCACGAATTAAATGGTTTGGGTGCGACTCTGAGGCTTTGAGGAAGTTCTCAGAGAGTTTTTTAAAAAATTGTTGAATTGTTGGGAGCTCTAAGTCCCGATGAAGGTCGGCATTACGGACGTACCACGGTGCGTTCGCAGCTCGACGACAGAAGAGGTTCTGAACTATTTGGAGTTCATTTAAAATGTTAGTGTTTGCGTGGGCAAAGACGGGGCCCGCGTAGGACATGACTGGTCGTATACAGACCTTGTAAAGGGTACTCTTGTTTCGAAGGGACATTTTACTGTGTCGGCCCAACATACTGTTGAGCCTACTCAGATAAAACCGTGCGTGACGGGTTACTCTTTTGACGTGGGGCTTGAAAGTGAGCCCTGTGTCTAGAGTGACACCTAAATATTTGGCGGACGTATGCCAGGGGACAGGGGTCCCTAGCATACGTATTGGTGGAGTGTTTTTGAGACGGCGTCGTTTATAATCGAAGTGAACGGCGGAGCTCTTCTCCGGGTTCACATCGATGCGCCATTTTTTGAACCAAGCACCTAGGTCATCAACTGACTTTTGGATCTTGTTCCGTATGAAGGGTAGTGAGACACCTTTGCAGTAGATGGCAGTGTCGTCTGCGAAAAGGGAGAGTTGAACACCTTTCGACGGGATGGGAATGTCGTTGGTGAACAGGATGTACAGCAGAGGAGCAAGTACTGAGCCCTGAGGGACACCAGCCTTGATAGTTCGCTGTGAAGAAAGCGTGCCTTCGTGTCTAAAACGAAAGGTACGATGTTTTAAATAGGAGGCCACGAGACGAACTAGACGATCGGGGAGACCTATTTTATAGAGCTTGTAGATGAGGCCTGTGTGCCAGACTCTATCGAAAGCTTTGGCTATATCGAAAAAGACCGCGATGGTCTTATGACGACGAGGATAGAAACCGCTGAGGATATATTCCACAATGCGGTGAACTTGTTGGGGACATGAGTGTTTGGCTCGGAAACCGAATTGATGGGGAATGATAAGAGGGTCGCCGTCTGTGGGAAACAGATAGCGCCTCATACGCGTTTGGATGACTCTTTCAAAGAGCTTGCCCATTGCCTTGAGGAGGCTAATGGGGCGATGGCTGGAGGGGGAGGTTGAGAGGCTTACCTGGCTTGGGAATTCCAATCACAGTAGCCTCTTTCCACGTAGTGGGGAAATAACTGAGGTTGAAGCAGGCGTTGAAGATAATAGATAAAAAGGTTAACACCTGCTCAGGAAAGTTAAATACGCGATGTTATAGCGCGCTATTTATAAGAAAGCGTGTTCCGGCCGGCAAGTTCGTGCTCGCTGCTAGGACGAAGTTGCTTCAGAATGCACCCTTGTCACGTGCTATTCATTATGTTAAATGTTAATATCATTGCAAAGGATATTGACGTATTTACGTACAGTGAGACGAAATACGTAATTGCAGCATACAAATGCGATGAATATCGTAATTTTTTTTTTAAATTAGTATTTTATTTTATAATCATGTTGATAGATTCCATATTAGATATCATTATTTATTATGTATTAGTCAGCTGTAGTTTTTTTATTATATTTAAGTTAGTTTCAGCATCACAATGGTTAATAACTGTAATGATGTTATAATTATGTAATAAATAAATAAAATAAATCTTACTGGGCTAATAATTTCAGATGCTCACCTTAAAACTTTATATGGTGGTCCGCAAATTATGTTGATTTTATAAGATAATTCGTGAAAACACTCTCTGTAACAATTTTTCAAGTCTAGTGACAAAGTGTTACAGAGAGTCTGTAAGCTGCTTAAGATACTTGAGAAATAATAATAATCAGTTTATGAGAGAACTACCATAATTAGACCTATAAGACCATTTGAAGTTTCTGGTGTGGTTTTTACACGTAACGTAAATTTCGGGTTCTCACCAAGACGAGGTGCAAGGACATACAAAGGTTATATAAGTATATGCTTGTTCGTACGTATGTCAACAAAGGCTATAGTCCGGACGCCAAGAAGGAAGAATTTCGTACGTTGACCTGTTATGACCTGTCTCTGTCACTCCCGCGTAAGTATAATGCGTCTCGCTCGTACAGATACAATGACCGCTGTCCTCAGGGACTGTAAACATTTTACCTGA